GTGGAGGTGGAGAACAGGGAGATAAACGTCGTGGCATATTTGCCGTCGCCTATCTTGCGGTGATGGTGGAGAAGAGGCTCGATGATGTGACAGAATAGGTGATGGCTGTCGTTGTGGAGGTGTATAGCCGGGTCGATCAGATGATGGCTCTGGGTGAGGTGATAGCTCTGGGCGAGGTGATGGCTCCCGAAGTGGAGGCTGCTCATCAACCGTTCCATCAAAAAAAACGCTTACTAGCTTGCCACCAATCAGTGGCAAGCTCAGCTTCCGTGGGTGTCAGCCTCTGTAGAGGAGTGTTGGCCTCCTAACAATATAAAAGCTCAAACAAAGTTAAACGTGTACTAGTAATAACTTGTTTATAAACATATGGTAGTATTTATGTTAACTTACATTATTTATTGTCGTATACCGTAGTAAATCTTCCCATTGCAAGGTCCGTTTCCTCTTCCAGGAAATAGCCCTGGGAATATCATTTGAAGTTTTTATTGCATATGTCTTCATGGCGGAAAGGCCTCAAATATCCAAATCTACAAACAATATAATAACAAACATTAGTAATTGTTAAATAATTACTTATAATTTTGGAAACATCATATAAAATTCTTACCTTAAAGGCCCAAATAAAGCCTGTCAAAGTGTATTTGGAACCATCGCCATGCAAACTTTTTCGATCATCCAAGGCAGACGATCACTTATTCCATGTAGCTTTCCATAAATACGAGCCCCACGGAAACAGGTTCCACGCATTTAGGTCTTCTACCAATTTGATTAGATCATTTGGAATAGGTTGTCTGGCCTCTCTGCCTAAAAAGCCGGCATGCAAAAGAATTAGAAGGCATACTCGGACAACGTCGACGTCATCCATCCGAGTAAAACCATCTTTATTATTCAACAATCTTGTCAGGTCTTCTACGTGTAGACTCGGCCTCTCCAGCTCAGGAAAAACCCGGGATAGCCATGATGGGCGGGTAATGTGTCTAGTGTACCGACCTACATCATCGTGTCCGAAGCGTAGACCGGTGATTAAGCAAAACTCCTCCCGCCCAAAACACGTATACGCCGGTGGAAAATCAAACCATATCTCTTCATCACGACGTTGTATATTCTCTGGTAGATCGCTAGTCATGGTTTGAAGAAACAGGTGTGTCAACATCACATCTCCACCGGGATGTTGTACTTTCAGCCATGGCCCGAAGCATGTATCCTCAAACATTTTTCTTTGTGCAGGTGAAAGCTTCGACGCAATTATTTTGGCCAGGCTGACTTTATTTCTCAAGGTCAATTGAGCCGAATAAAAGTTCTACAAAAACAATAAACATACTAAATTAGATATACCAAAAACTACACTGTGAAGATATACCAAAAACAATAAACATAAAGAGTAGTAGTTTATTCTTCAAACTTAAATTTGCAACACTGTGAATTTCGTATTTGTCTTTGTTTTTTGGTTGAAGTAATGCAATTCATTCAAGTTTCAATTTGCAGAAGAAGAATAGTTTCTGAAAATGAAAATCGCAACACGAAAATGACTATCGCAACGCGAATTTGACTATCGTAACAAGATAATCGCAACGCGAAACTAAAATCGCGTTGCGATTTGCATTTCGCGTTGCGATTCTCGGTTGATTTAATAAGCAATCTAAGTGAAATGGTTAATCTATTATTGAAATTACCAGTAAACTTATCATCAATTTCAATATGAAAAACCTAATAATAATGCAAAAATTTCAAAAAGAAAATAATTAAAAAAACTAACCCTCGTTGGTTGATTTGGTTGATTTTCCATTTCTGATTGTGAGGGTGGCTCTGAGAGATGGAGATAGACGGATTTCGTCGGAGATGGGGACGGATTTCGTCGGAGATGGGTGAGAGAGTGAGAGATGGAGATGGGACTGAGTTGTGATTTTAGGTTTTAGGTTATGAGTTGCGATTACGGGATATACTGTGGACGATTCAGTGTTCCAATATATTAATATTCGTATTTGGAATTTAAAAATAAAATACTTGGCCAGGATACTAATGGCGCTTTGAAAATCGCATTGCGATTATGTATTATCGCGTTGCAAAAGTCAGTATCGCGTTGCAAAAGTAAGTATCTCGTTGCGATTTTGTATTATCGCATTGCGATAATCAGTATCGCATTGCGATTTTCCCAATTCGCGTTGCGATTTACTTATTCGCATTGCGATTTTCCCAATTCGCGTTGCGATTTACTTATTCGCATTGCGAATTGGGAAAATCGCAACGACACTGTAGACCATCGCAACGCGATTTTCAACTATCGCATTGCGAAAATGCAACGCGAATTTGCGATAATGGAGATCGCGTTGCGAATTAGCGATCGCATTGCGATTTTGTTGGTCATTTTGGCAAATCCGGAAAAAGTTGGTTAAAATCGTATATTATATGGGATTTTTGGTCACTGAGGTTATTTTCTCTATTTAATATTCTTAGGCTCTATGCATGAGATAAATGCAACATAATTACAAATATTTCTAAGAGAAGATCGAGTTGTTACCCCTTTTGATGGATCACCTATAATTTCACCATCCTTGACATAGTTGTACTCTCTTGGATAAGATACTTCCCTTTCTTCAATGGTTGGATTCTCAAGAGGATCATGAGTTTCCTCATTTTTTCGTTTCTTCCTTTGATGATGGTTCTCTAACGTCATGTCTAACATCATTTGTATTTATAACACCTACATCATCATTCACACAAGAATCCTTCCTCGGAAGGGGATTATCATCGAAAAAAACATGTATAGACTCTTCTACAACTAAAGTTCTTTTATTAAATACACGATAGGCTTTAGAATTTAAGGAATAACCCAGAAAAATTCCTTCATCACTTTTAGCATCAAATTTTCCAAGGTTTTCTTTACCGTTGTTTAAAACAAAACATTTACATCCAAAAGGATGAAAATAGCTAATGTTAGGCTTTTTATTTTTGAAAATTTCATATGGGGTTTTCTTTATAATTGGCCTAATCATTACTCGATTTACAACATAACAAGCGGTATTTGTGGCTTCCGCCCAAAAATATTTTGGCAAATTATTTTCACAAAGCATGGTTCTAGCCATTTCTTCTAAAGTTCGATTTTCCTCTCAACAACTATGGTTCTAGCCATTTCTTCTAAATTGCACAGCGATTTACAGTGGTTCGACTTTCTCAAACAAAGTCTACGTCCACTACCTTAGCTATCCACACTAAGGATTTTCCAACAAATTCACTAATTTGTTCTTTCTTTTGAGGCCAAAGAGATAACCTTACAAAATCCCTCAAGAGTATACCCCAACTCTTGAGAACACTCTTTTTCCCAAAGAGAAGATTACAAATTTGCAAACTTACAAGAAAACCTCACAAGGTAAGATGTTTGCACAATTCTAGAACAAAGAAAAGAACACTCAAAGATAAATACAATTGAGTACAAAAGTGTTCTTGAAAGCAAATGAATATTGGATGAAAAATAGGCTTGAAATGCTCAAACTTGAGGTTTAATGCTTTCTCTTTGATTATCTCTTGATTCTAGTTGCTTGATGTTTCTTATTGTTTCTTCTTGTTGATCAATGGCTTCAAAACTTGTTTAAATACTCCTTGAATCAATTCTGAACGTTGGTGATAATTAGTGGAGTCAATAGAGCCGTTTAAGTGTGAAAACAATTAATTTTTCTAGGTAGAGCGTCTCATGCATCGATGCATGATCAAGGATGCATCGGTGCATTCGTGTAAAATTCAAATATTTTGACCGTTGGAACACTTGATGCATCGGTGCACCAAGTGTGCATCGATGCATGAAATGCATTCGATGTTTGAAAAATAGCCTGGTGCATCGATGCATGGCTTGTGCATCGATGCATCAAATGCATTCGATGTTTTGAAAATATTCAGAGTGCATCGATGCATGGAGAGTGCATCGGTGCATGGAATGCATTCGATGTTCAATTAATTCATCGATGCATCGATGCATGGACTGATGCATCGGTGCATGCCTTTGAATAATTGATTTAAGGCTTGTTTTTGGTTCAAAATACTTTGTGAAAATTGTTTCAAAAATAGTTTAAGTACAAATCACAATTTTACACATTTAGTAAGGATTAAAATTGATCTTGAGAAACTTGGAGTAATAATTTGATATTCGGTTAATTGAATCGAATATAAATTTGTAAAATCATTTGTAAAATCTTAAAATTCATTTAACTTAATTTGTTATATCGAAATATCAAAAATGTTTTCAACATTCTTGAAATTGTTGAAGAAGAAGTAGAAATTCAAAGTAATCTTCGAAACATTATTTAATACTTTGTTCATTTTCAAAACTGGCATTTAATAATTTATTATATAGTTGAAAATGTTGGAATGCACAAGACTCGAGGACGTACAACTTTGAAGGAATTATACCAACTTCGTCCTGGGCATCGTGTCAAAGTTTCAAGAAATGATATCGGTCAACCTATTGGCCCAGAATCACGTCTTCTAGCAGGTTACTTAGGCATAGTTGGACGTAACGTGAATCTGTTACCGATCAATTACGAGTCATGGTGCGAAATGCCTAATAGTAATAAAAATCAAGCGTTGGATTTTGTTAAGGTAATGATGTCATTATAATAGATACTCTATAGAAATTCAATACTAATTTATACTTACGGTGCATACTTATTTGCTGTATAGGAGAAATTTTCTTTAGAGGTCTCTGACGATTATGTGAAGCAAGCGTTAAGGAAGAGATAGAGGGACCACAAGAGCTCCTTAAATAAGAAATACTTCAAGAATGATCTCAGCCTTGAAGAGAAGTTGTAAACAGTCCCACCAGGAATGCTCAGGTACCAATGGGAAGATGCAATCAGATTTTGGAATTTAAAAAAATGACAGGTATGATGTATTTTTCAGAAATAATTGTAACAAATTTTAAATCATCATTAAAAGTGCTTGTTTGACATTGTAGGACCGAGAGTATGTTGGTGTTGCTAGCAGGCAACAAAAAAATTTTACGCACACGGCTGGATCAAAGAGCTTTACTTGTATAGCTCATGAGGATGTATTATAGATCATTGAAATAGCTTTTTGTATTTCATGTACATACTAACTCATAGTAATTATATTATGGTATATTGTAGGAAAATACATCAGGTTCTAAAGTTGGTCGAATTCAACTCTTCGATATGACACATACAAAGAAGGATGTCACTCCTATGACTGTTGACGCTGCAGAAATTATGGTACGCTTATTAGGTAGATGTTTTAAATTTACCTAACTTTATTTATATTTGTACCATGACATTTTTATTTTAATTAATTATTCACTTCATTATTAGGAAAAATTGAGGGAGAAAAAGGCGGAGCATCATGCTACTGCTTCGAGTCAAGGTCTTGTTAATGATGATGACATTGAAAATCAAGCTATTAATGATGTTTTGGGTCCTGAAAGATATGGTCGGGTGCGCTGTCAAGGATCATTCGTTACTCTCACCAAATATTTTGGTTCCAGCTCATCACAGTACATGTCATCACAATCTCGATCTTCCCACCACGAAGTTAGTCGTTTAAAAGAAAAGTTGGCTGAGATGAATTAACAAATGGCAACTTGAAAGCAGAAAATGAAGGAAAGGAAGCAGAGAGAGCAGCAGCGGAAACAGAGAAAGAAGCAGTGGTAGCACAGAGAGAAGCAGCATATCAGCAGAGATGTGAAGAATTTTAAAAACGACTCAATGATATGATGCTAATGATACAGAAAACGCAACCTCAGAATCCACCATCGTAGTCTCATTTATGTTATGAGAATTCTGTTAATGTTACTGAACCTTGTTTAACTGAACTTATATTACATTAATGAAAATTTATATTTATTATATTGGATTTGATGTTGTTTGTTATGGTTATAGAGTTTGATGTTATTGTTGTTTTGTTTGTTGGATAATGGAACAGGTTGGAAAAACAGATTTGGGGTAACCAAGCATTATTTTTAGAACTGTTAAATTCTGTGTTATTTAGCGGCGTTTGAAAAAAAAGGCCGCAATATACCATACATTTAGCGGTGTTTGTATACTAGAAATGTCGCAATATATCATACATTTAGCGGCGTTTGTATACTAGAAACGCCGCTAATTGTTAACCTTTATTGCGTCGTTTTCGATACAAACGCTGCTAAATCTGAAAACTTACTACGACGTTTGTGGGAAAAACGCTGCAAAATATCAAAACCTACTGCGGCATTTTTAAGTAAAACGCCGCTAAATCTCAACACCTACTACGGCTTTTTAGGGAAAACGCCGCTAAACATCAACACCTATTGCGGCGTTTTTTCTAAAAAATAACGCTAAATAACAACACCTATTGTGGTGTTTGTTGTTGTCACCTATTGCGGCATTTGTTTTTAAAAAACGCCGCTAACTTTAGCGACGCTATTTTCAGCGGAGCTTTTTGCGATGTTTGTCATAACGCCGCATGTGTTTTTAGCGGCGCTTAAAAACGCCGCTATAGGTAAAAAAAGCCGTAAAATACCTCTTTTGCTGTAGTGATGGTTTTTATATATAGTTCACATGTAAATTATACTATATAGTATATATAGTTTATATATATAATATATAGTATATAAATATAAACTATAGTTTATATATATATTATGTACTATATAAATAGTTTATATAATTCACTAATAAACTATATATATATATATATAGATCATATGTAAACTATATAGTTTATATATATAGTTCATATGTAAATATCAACTATAGTTTATATGTAAACTACAGTTAGTATATAAACTATATAGTTTATATGTAAACTATAGTTCATATATAAATATCAACTATAGTATATATATAGAGTTCATATGTAAACTATATAGTTTATATATACAGTTCATATGTAAAGTATAATTCATATGTAAATATCAACTATAGTTTATATGTAAACTATAGTTAGTATATAAATTATATAGTTTATATGTAAACTATAGTTCATATATAAATATCAACTATAGTATATATATAGTTCATATGTAAACTATATAGTTTATATATATAGTTCATATGTAAACTATAGTTCATATATAAATATCAACTATAGTTTATATGTAAACTATAGTTAGTATATAAACTATATAGTTTATATGTAAACTATAGTTCATATATAAATATCAACTATAGTATATATATAGTTCATATGTAAACTATTTAGTTTATATATATAGTTCATATGTAAACTATAGTTCATATGTAAATATCAACTATAGTTTATATGTAACCTATAGTTAGTATATAAACTATATAGTTTATATGTAAACTATAGTTCATATATAAATATCAACTATAGCATATATATAGTTCATATGTAAAATATATTTCATATGTAAATATCAACTATAGTTTATATGTAAACTATAGTTAGTATATAAACTATATAGTTTATATGTAAACTATATAGTTTATATATATAGTTCATATGTAAACTATAATTCATATATATAGTATATAAATTTAAACTATAGTTTATATAAATAGTATAAAATATAGTATATAAATATAAATTATAGTATGTAGTTTATATCATATTTGTCCAATTTAATCCTCCAAATTTTATTTGCATATAAAATTGACCCCTACTTATTACTTTTTTCTATTTTTTAATTGGCCCATAACTTTTTAAATGGGTATAATTTAGTACTTTTTTGTATTAATTTCAACCTCACAATTTAAAATTATTTCGATTTGATCCCTCATCAATGTGCATTGTTTAATTTATTTAAATTTTTATTTGTAATTTCATATTTGTTCAATTTAGTCCTCCAAATTTTATTTTCATCTGAAAAATTTCATATTTGTTCAATTTAGTCTTCCAAATTTTATTTGCATCTGAAATTGACCCATACTTATTACTTATTTCTATTTTTTAATTGGCCCATAACTTTTTAAATGGATATAATTTAGTACTTTTTGTATTAATTTCAACCTCACAATTTAAAATTATTTTGATTTGATCCCTCATCAATGTGTGTTGTTTGATTTATTTAAATTTTTATTTGGAATTTCATATTTGTTCAATTTAGTCCTCCAAATTTTATTTGCATCTAAAATTGACCTATACTGATTACTTATTTCTATTTTTTAATTGGCCCATAACTTTTTAAATGAGTATAATTTAGTACTTTTTTGTATTAATTTCAACCTCACAATTTAAAATTATTTCGATTTGATCCTACATCAATGTGTGTTGTTTAATTTAATTTAATTTTTATTTGTAATTTAATATTTGCTCAATTTAATTCTTAATTTTTTTATTTTTCATAAAATTGAACCATGATTATTTATATTCTTAGTACTTTACTCTAAATCATATACAATTACATATTACAATTCAAAATTCGCGAAAGACGAAAATAATTAATCCAAAAATAAAAATTAACCCAATTTAAACTCAATCTGTATCTGATAGAGATCCAACCTGAATTTTATATGCCAATAATGTGACCCGATCTAAACGATATCCTCCTGAAGTCCATCCGAACTTGAATTAACCTGCTTTTTAACTACTCCAAACCTGAACTGTTTTGAATCCAAACTGAAAGTAACTCGAATTGTATCTAGTGTCGAATCAACCTGAAAATGACCTGACCTGATTTGACCTGGACCTGACCTGATCCGAGTCGAAGCATCACATTTACCTGACTTGACTTGTATCCAATTTTACCCGACCTGATAGGATCCGACTGAAACTTGAACGATTACCCGATTTTACATCCCTAGTTTCATCGCACAACAAGAGGAATAGTTGCTGAAGTCATCACCGTACAATCGTCCATTCTTCTCTGCAATCATTGCTTGAAGCATGAGATTCGCATGGTGGGTGATCAGGCGATCTTTCGCCGTCCGAATTTTGATCGACGTTGGCAATAACCAATGGTAATAAAAGGATTGAAATAAATGGTTTTCAAGATTTTGAGATTTTTTTTGTAATTTAAAAAAAGTTTAAGTTTTTTTAATAATAATAACTTTAAGTATTTTTTTAAAAAAATAAATAATTTTTTTTGTAAATACTTAAAAAAAAGTGACGTTGAAAATGTTCAACACCTATTTCGAAAAATTCTTTAGACGCCTAAAATTAACTTTATGTATAATTGAAACACCTATTTAGTCAATAAAAAAATTTTGATTTCAAATCCAAAAATATTGTTAAACTATCCTAAATTGACATGTTTTTATTTATTTTTTTGTTTTTATAGAGTTAAGATTTTTAAACATATAAAAGAACGTGTTCACGAACACTAGCGATGGCAACGGGTCAGGCTGGATCAGATTTTTTGTTAATACAATCCAACCTAAAATATATATATCCTCAATCTGAATCTGACCCGACCCGAAAAATATATATTCTCCACCCTACCCAACCCAACCCGAAGAGCATATTTCTTCAACCCGAATCCGACCTGACCCAAAATTTTAAAGTATAAATATGATCTGACCCGAAATAAAATAATTGCCTAGTTTTAAAAAAAACTATAAAGAGATGGGAATTATCCATAAATTTATATAAAAAATAAGTATTATTCTCGGGTTGAGTAAAAGATTTTTCACCCTCCCCAAACTCAACCCGATCTCACCCCCTATATAAGATCCGACCATTTCGGGTTGGATCGAGTCGAAATCCATCAATCTCAGGTTAAATTGTCATACCTAACGAACACTAAACGTACCAAAAACAAACACTTCCGAACAGAGTTTCAAAAAACGTTTCGAAAACGCGATTTCATCCGCAATATAGCGGTTTCGCCGCCGTCTGAGTTACCCGCTACACCCGCAATAGCGCCCGTGACGGCCACAATCACGGTAAACCCGAAATGACCGAAATCGCGACCGCGATTTGAAACCTGCTTCCAAATATAAACAAATGAACCAAACACAAACGCTTCCAAATATAAACAAACGAACAATAACAAATTATTAAAAATTTAAACTATCACGAACGGAGCATGAATGCCTTAAAAAATAAACAAACGAATACAAACACAACCAAATTCGTTTAAACCGGATTCATTTACAACCCTAACCAGAATCTCTTAAGCTTCTTATGCAAATGGTTCAGCATTGAACATTCCCACCTGACTTGATCTGTAAAGCAAATGGTTAAGTTTCTTATTGCATGTTTTCACATGCTTCCCTATTGACACTACAGCTTTTACCTACAGCGCCATAGAAACCACCAAATCAACCCAATTTACAATTGAATTATTCGCTACTCACACAAGCTACTGATTCAATACCTTGGTAATATATTGAGGTCGCAACACCGTAATTTAGTACTGTGTTCAATACTCAAAGATTCAAAACGAAATTCGCATGCAAAATTTAATC